CAAAGACAATAAAAGAGCCAGCTCTTACCATGGTAGTATTTCAGGGCTGTTGGTCACATCGGCGGCGAGAGGAGTCTTAGAACTTGTACTTGTCTTCGTCAAATTTTAAGCTTTGCTCTGAGCCCTATCAAATTTCTTCTTGGAGATCAACTAAAAAAAATTCTTCATTTTATTATAGGGATAGGGAGGTGAGAAGGAAGGTGTTATTATTTGCATATTTAAATATTTTTTTAGGGGTTCCCATGTGGAGAAGAGGGGCAAGGTATAGCATGAATAAAATAGGAGATACTGGAGAGCCTTGAGGTAGGCTACAGGACACATCAAATTCCGGGACGGTTGAGAGATCTAGACGATCCTTGATAACACGTTTAGAGGCAAAAGAAGCGACCAATCTTACCAAGTTTGTAGACAATCCCTGGTCTCTAATTCGATGGACTAGTCGACCGGGAAGTTCTCCGTTGAACGCACCCTTCACATCAAGCGTCAGAAGGGAGGCGGTAAGCTTACTGTTCAATGCTGTTTCGATGTCTTGTACTAAGCAGGTCGTCAAGTCAGTAACCGAGTGGAGATGCAGGTTTGCAAAATTTTGGGGGGCTGTTATCATGGCCCTAGTAGCTATCTAAGAGAGGCGGCAGGCAATTAACTGTTCAAGGACTTTCCCAGGGCCAAGAGAAGAGCATTGGGTTTGTATGAGCGTGGACTGGATTTATCTGGCTTATTAAGCTTGTTTAACATGACCAGTAAAGCAGGATGGTGACCAATCTGAAGGCAGCCTCTAAAAAGACTACTGACCCGAGTTTCAATTAATGGCTTGTGAGCCGATAAGTCCTGTAGCTTTCGATGGCTATCGAAGGCGACCTATATTTTCTATCGCTACAAGGATTATCAGCAGACGAAAACTGATACGAGATCGCCACTGAGGCTACGTAAAGGATAGTGCCAAGAGTATCGGAAGCGTTACCTGTGTGGCAGAACAAACCTTTAGTCAGTTTCATTGCCACTGTAAACGTAGGCTATATTTAGATACCTCTGGATGTGTATAAGTAGCAGAGACTTGGAGGTAGTTTGCTTCTCCGTAGATGAGTTATAGCTTTACCTTTCAATCATACAAATTTCTATTTGCTTTCTATATTAGAACTGTGACAGCTAGTCTATCATTAGGATTGCCGTTAAGATTTTGTCCTCATCGGGTGGTGTATTGCTTGCTTTAATGACCGAGTCCCTGATTTCAGCTGGCGTTGGGTCTGGTAACGGAAGGCCAGCAATGCCGACTGACGGCGAATCTAATGGAACGCCTACTGCTTCAGAGGCATTTGTAGTAGGTTTCGAACTAGAATTAAGCACTTTTCCTGGAGTGTGTTCGCAGGTGGGGCTCCGGGGTTATTTGAGTCTTTGAGAGGCGGGATGCGAAAGAATCCTACTGTTCGGTGCCAGTTGACTATTCTAAACACATCTTTTGCTGTATTGGATTGATCTACTTTGTCCTGAAAAACTTTCACTTCACTCTACGGCCTACTGCACATATTAGCTTTTCCCTAGCGGTGATAGCAGGTTGGTCTGTTGAGTTTCTTCTAGTTGTTCAGTAGGCCTGTGCAGCGTTTCTGCAGTCGTTATTCAACCAAGGGTTTCCAGTCCCTTTTCCAAGGGCTCGCCGTGCAGATGATCTACGGGCAGTCTGGATGGCCGTGTAGATGCTTTGAGCGAAGAGATCTAGAGAGTTAGGCTGTGGGTTCGCAGGAAGGTCTGTGTCGGTATATATATGGTCTGATCACAATAGTAGCGTTCAAATTACTAGATATGATTCTTATTCTCTCTAACCAACTACGGAATAAAAATCTGTCCTACACAGTTGGAAACTCAAATAGGACATAAATGTATAAATAAAAAAATACGGAATGAAAGTATAAGGTGAACTCCATCTCCATAACGCATTACATAATCATAATAAATCACGTGAATTCCTACATGCGCATCACCATTTCAACAATAGTCGAGTACATCCCATCAGGTCTAGATAGTTTATTAGTTCTACAAGCTCTTTCTCAGGAATGGAGAGGAAAACTCTTTGGTCAAGCGTGCTCAGTTTGAGCCGGAATATTGGCCCCTGGAAGCAACTGTCCTATGAGATTAAAGAAGCAATAGGAAAATGGTCAAATATGACGTCCAGCTCCGAGATTATTGTAGACTTGGCTGCCGAGAGTATCAGTAGACTAGAGACGAATGCAAGGTCTAGCACACTACCACGACTGTGGGTTGGCATGACCGATTCAGAGATTAAAGAGAGGTTGAGTCTATCTATCCACTCAATAAACGGTTCTGCTAGTGGACTAGTAATTAGGGATGATGCCTGCCACCGCGAGTGTCTGAGTTTTAGGACTCCGGCAAGGAAGATTCGGTTTGTATGACTTGGAAAGATGAGATTGAGGAGGGCTCTATCGGTCTCACCCCAATTATTTGAGACAGCCGGAGCGTTGCACACGTTCACTACAAGAAAATTCGCTCCAGATGGCGTGGTAACATGCAAGAAAAGGAGGTCTCTCGCGACTGTGCTCATAAGGAGGAAGAGCCTTTGTTGATATACCTGTAGTCCAGCTCCTTTGCACATATGTGAAATTAATCGAGACCGGGATAACCAGTCATCTGTGAGGGTAAAGCACTCATAACTGGAATTGAATTTGGTAATCTGGCGCTGTTGACTAGTAAAGATATAAGGCTCTTGAATAAGAAACATGTCGAATATTTCTTCATTTGCAACGGTAATTGCAAACTCGTGTGAAAAGGCTCCCCTACAGGCACTAATCTACAGGAGTCGCAGTGGCCCTATAGACCTGTGCAGTTAAGACTTAATCTTCAACGTCTGGGTTGCGTAGCGATTCCCAAAAAAGATTGTGGGACGCGAGGGTGAAGGTGTAGTGATTATGAGGAGAGGAATTGTATACAAACAGCAGCTTTATCAATATGATGTACTTGACACTATGAAGTGGACGATGATATTTGTTTGCTTTATTAGACTCGTTTCCCCGACGATTACTATCTACATGAAGGAGAATACTCCTTTTTATACCAATGGCTCATCTATTTACTTGCTAGTAGAATATTCCATCTTGTGATGTAAGATATTCTCTCATATGCTATAGAATAGTCTACATTCTTGTTTATATCATCCATATACAACTGTCTATGATATCACTACTTTGGCCACATCTTGTATAGATTTCTATATCATCTAATACGGCTTGTCAGGTTGACTAAGTAATTTCACATCATAACAGAAGGTGAGGTGGTCCGAAGGGGTGTCAGTCATTTCTTCGTCTACTTGAGCGGTACTAGTATAGCCACGGATACAATCTGTAGTGGTGCACAGGCTCATTCTTCCTGCGACAGATGTGTTGCGGATTTAGGATACTTTTCCTTTTTTCAGCTTTATACGATTTGATCTGGGCCGGAGTAGACACTCTGGAGAATCGGGTGGATGTGGACCCAATCAGTGGATACATCGAGTTGAGCAATGAAGTTGGTGCGGTCCACATAAATAGTGGGTTTCATCTGTGTGTTCGACTACGCCACAGAGACGGCAGCGTGGAGCACGGGCATAGATACGTTAATTATGTCATTGAAGAAATCCAATGCATTGAGCGATGTTGACTTTCCTAGATAGTTTACAGCTGTGAATTTCCATTCCAAAAAGACAGAAACTTCTTGGGAAACGAGACCTAGTGCGGAGGCAAGCGATAAATCTGGCTGAGGGATCGTAGAGAGATGCAATACTTCCCTTGGTCTCGACTCCAACAGTAGGATGAGACCCATTTTCTTCCCTGAGTTCCGTTAGAACAAGTTCTGGGGTGATTGGCTCTTTAACGGGACGGTTATTGTTGTCTAAAGTTGTGAATGTGCGAGGGACAAATGTGATGACTTAGTTGTCCAGGTTTTAGGCTTTTTCGATGCCCTGTACACCTGGGAACCTCACTCACTCCCTCAATTCCCTGGATAAATAGGTCTTTTCACCTTGTTAAGGCCGCTTCTGAAGAGAGACCGAGGGCCAGGCCAGATGAGACATGTTGTACTTCCTTCAGCATGGCGCGTTCTCACAAAGGAAATTTCGGAGTTGAAGTAGTAGTGATTGCGCTGATATCTGGTGTTATGTTGCGTTTTTTTCAAGGCGTAGAAATAATCAATCATCCGAGGGAAGTGGTTTGGCCTGTTTTTAGAGATTGGCAGGTCTCGATTTTCTGATGGGTGCTAAATCTAGCATTGCCCTTCGGTTTTCCTGCGACGTTCGCGTATGAAGGCTTTGCAAGTGCAGCTGGCTTTGGCTGAACTGTCGGACGATGGGTAGTTGTTGCGGGGATTGGTACACCTAGCACATTTTTTTCAAAAAATTCTTGTGCGATAGCTTGTATGCATGCCAAGAACTCGCTATATGTTTTCTGTAAATTGAGGTGATTGTATAGGCAACCGTACCACAAGTGACGTTATCCCATGCTGCGGCCACGTTGACATACAAAAGAGTTTTCTCCTGTGTTCTTGTATTAGCAGCGGAATTCGCTTGGTTCAGTGTTTCTGTCAATGACGTTGGTGCCCATACTACTTACGGGGGAATAGGAAGAGAAGGGGGGTCTGGCAATGTTGGCAGTCGTAGATATTAGTTTAAAATTGAAGCTAGAGTACGATCTGTCAACGCAACGCAAACCTTTAGGCTTTGCAATGCTCGCATAGTGTACCAATCTGTACCTTCACTTGATGCTTACGAATTGGCCTGAACCTTCCTTCTTCAACATAAATTCCGATGTCAATAGAGACAATCCACCTCAGAATTTTACAGAGGCGCCTCGTTTATCTAGCCTAGCCAGACGTGTCTCAAATTCGAGCTAACCACAAATAGAGCACGCCAAGCGTTTGATAGAGCGCGTTAGCTGTGAACCCTTGAGCCCTGCGCCTTACCCCCGCAACCTGATGAAAATTGTTGTCGTCAGGGACTAGATCAATCCTAAAACCATCTTATGACAACAAACACAACCATGGCAGATGAGCTCAGTCATGGGCTCCGAGATTTCCATCATCCGTACAAGCCCTATAAGATCCAGGAAATCTTCATGGAAACAGTCTACCAGGTGCTGGAGAATGGACAAGTCGGGATTTTGGAATCTCCGACTGGTACAGTAAGTACAGCATTATCTAGTTTACTAGCTCCTTATTTATCTTCCATCTACAAGGAGATTCCTGTAGGAGATCTTTACCAATTTTTGCATTCAGTATTAAAGATGTTATTTAATCAGATTCCAGGGTAAATCCTTAAGTCTGATTTGTGGTGCAATTACTTGGTTACGTGATCACAAAGGAAAAATGTTTGAACAGGGCTTAGAAGAGCTTCAGAAAAGTATCAAAAAACCACATCCATCAGCAATATACTAACCCACGACAACCTAGATAAAGAAGAACCAGACTGGGTCATCGAGCAAGTAAAGGCCAGGAGGAGAAGAGAGATGATGCACCAACGGGAAGATTTTGAACTACGTCTTTCTCAAATTCGAGCCAAGGAGAAAGCTATACAAGATAAATTCTTGAGAGGCGAAAGAAATTCAAAGAAAAGAAAAATTAATCATATGAAGTTCGACATACATGACGATGAGCAGTTTGTTCTTGAAGAATACGAAAGCGATGAAGACAAGAAAACGCACGACAAGACTGCTAGAAGCCTATATTCTGCCGAAACTCTATTACTTCTAGATGAACTTGGTATGGGCCCTGCAGCTGATAGAAGGCAGGACGATGAAGAAATCTATGATGAGACAAAAGTAACTACGAACTTTTAGGCGCCTATTTTCCGATCTAATAGCTAATTAGATTTTCTTTTGCTCTCGCACTCATTCTCAACTTACACAATTTATCAATGAGCTTCGACGACCAAAATTTCCACCCTCCATCGTAAATTCTAACGATAAAGATGAAAACTTCGAAGATCTCAAGCATTTGACTTTAGGCTCGAGAAAAAATTTGTGTATTAACTCTAGAGTCAATAGACTCGGGTCGCTTACAGCTATCAACGAGAGGTGTACTGAATTGCAGCTATCTAGCACAGATAGCGCAAAAAAGTGTGCATTTCTCCCTAGCGAGGAGAGTCAGGCACTTGTAAACTCATTCCGTGACCATTCACTCGCAACCATCAAAGATATCGAAGACATGAATTCCCTTGGGAAAGAAATTGGAATCTGCCCATATTATGCCTCAAGATCTGCTATAAAGCCAGCCGAAATTGTCACGCTTCCGTATCCTCTGCTTCTTCAGAAAAGTGCAAGAGAAGCTTTGGGAATTAATCTAAAAGGAAATATTGTTATTATTGATGAAGCGCACAATCTCATGGACGCCATTTCGGCTATCAATAGTGTAGAGATTAGTCTGAAGCAATTGAAACAAGCGAGGGAGCAGCTCGGGACATACCTTCTAAAGTTTCGCAACAGGTTAAAAGGCAAGAATCGTGTCTATATTGCTCAAGTTATCAGGCTACTCGACTCTTTGGTTGAGTATCTTGAGAAACTGGGGCTAAGCTCTGTCGGTGAGACTACCTGGCTGCAGGATAAATAAGCTGATATTGTCTTAGCAAACAGATGGTACAGTATCTGAGAAAGATCTCTTTGCAGCTAAAGGCATTGACCAGATTAACCTCTTTAAACTGTCAAACTACCTTCAACGGAGCAAGATAGCGCGGAAAGTCGAAGGTTACGTTGCTCAAACAAAAGTACTCGCGTTATCCAAAGAACCCAAAACATTCGACTCCATAGATCCAAGTCAAGAAAATTCAACTCCAGTAATCTATCGGTTAATTCCTCTACTCCTTGCTCTCACCTCTCCCCAAAAAGAGGGGCGTCTTTTTTTCTCCAAAACTTCGCAGGAACACGTTCTTCTTCGCTATTTGCTTTTAGATTCCTCAACTCAGTTCCGGGAAGTGGTGTCGTCTGCCCGCGCTGTCGTCTTAGCCGGAGGAACAATGTCACCCATGAGTGATTATACTTTTCACCTATTTCCTTACATTGACGAAAATCAAATAAATACACTCTCCTGTGGTCATGTGATTCCTAAGTCGAATCTCTTAGCTTGGAATCTCTCTAAAGGACCTAATGAGCTGGAATTTGAATTTACATTTAAAACTCTCCACAACATTCACATGATTGACGAGCTTGGTCGGGCCCTATTAAATATATGTGCTGTTGTCCCTGATGGTATAATTGTTTTCTTACCGTCTTATAATTATCTTAATTCAGTCTTGACGCGTTGGTCTGTCAAAGATGCTGATTCTCAGTCCATACTCCAACGACTAGACACCAAAAAACCCATATTTAAAGAAAGCAAAAGCGAAAGTGCTGAGGCAACACTCCACGAATATTCATGTGCTATTTATTCTCAACGCGGTGGCTTGCTGTTCAGTGTGGTTGGGGGTAAAATGAGTGAAGGTATCAACTTTTCTGACGCACTAGGGCGCTGTGTGATTATTATTGGACTACCATTCCCGAACATTAAGTCTGCCGAATGGAAAGCAAGAATAGATTATATAGAAACGTCTAGCATAGAACGACTCAAAGCACTCCACGTGGCGCAAGGGTGTAATCTTGATGATGTTTCTGAAAAAAAGAAAGCTGAATGGAAAAAAAAAGCAATAGAGCTAGGAAAAGATTTTTACGAAAACGCATGTATGCGAGCCGTTAACCAGAGCATCGGCCGAGTTATACGTCATAAGGAAGATTATGCTGCTATCTTAATGATTGACCAAAGGTTTGGAAGCGAGAGAATAAAAAAGAAGCTGCCTGGCTGGATTAAAGACAGCATGATTTCTAAGGCAGGTGAGAAGAAGTTTGGGGCATTGATGGGAGAACTAAGCTCGTTTTTCCGGTCAAAGAAGTCAAGATGAAAGGCATCTAACAATCAATAGTTTTGGTTAATGAAGATGTTACAGTGGAAAAACAAGTTATAATCGCTAAAACGGGAATAATTTCCAGGAAATACGTCAATTTTCGCATCATAAAAATCGTAATATAGATTTAGATATTACATACTAATTAACACTGTCGTTAGTGAAACTTATTAACCCTTCATCACGCCATAACATACGCGAAACCATCCATTGGACCTTCTCTAGCTGCCCGAGGATGTTTCTGATCGAACAACGAAATTGTCGGAAGGATTTTTGTCGGTTCACAGGTGTGTGGCCTAGGTTTGAAGGGTTTATCTTAGGCAAAGACTTCCATAAGCATTGGTCAATGTATTACGCGACTTTGTTAAGGCGCTAGGCTTTGCTTTGTAACTTAGATATTAATTATTTAGGGATCCTTACAGATGATATGACGGGGAGGATAGGAATGAACCAAAAAGGAACACCTTCTAGTATCCATAAACACCTGAGCAGGGCTCAGAGCAGCATAGCCATGTAGATAAGAAGCGAACACATTGGTTTCAATTCCTATATGCACAGAAGAAAAGTTCCAGAAGTAGATAACTCACGATGCCAGTGCGGATATTCATCCCAGAATGTGAAGCATATGATCATGGCCTGCACCAGCTGGACCAAAGAAAGAGGAGAAATACTGAGAAAGGTAGAGAACCAGTCATTTGAGGACATGATGAATAACCCCAAAGATATAGCAAGGAGAACTAGAGAGATCCAGCAAGAAGGGCGGCTAGAACAGTTTCGACTGACGTTTGAAGTCGAAGCTACGATGAGGGTAGAAGGAAGACAAACTTCTACCAATAACAGGGAAGTGGACGGTATCCGCACTGGACATAACAGTGTTAGTGCACTTCTTGAAGGTAACACAGAATCATGGTGTAAATGAATTGAAAAGTTAAGGGGGTTTTTACCATAGAGGTTTCCTCCTATGTAAATATTGGAGTTTGTAGACACCTGCATGGGCCTTAAGGTGCCTATTCGGGCTAAAAGAAATCAAATTCAATTTTTTTAGGAAGGATACAGAAGAGGACAGATAGAATATACTTTAGTTGCTTTTAGCACTTTTGAGGCATCAAATCAAGTGGTCCTCGTTGTACCAACAATTTTCATCCCCGATAGCACATCAGTACCCTTTTATTACCGGATTAATCCCTTGGGTCTATACTAACCTCGCCAGCACGGCAGGGATGGAATATATGGCCTAGCTAGCTATGGGGGCTACTAATGTCGCGGTTTAGATGATGTCGCTTAGCAACATAGATCGTTATGACCGGCGCTGATAATTACAATTCCCTATGTATACAGCGAGAAGTAGGAAATCTTCTTTCTCTAAATTTCACTAACTAACGGATTTTATTCTGGACTTACTCTGTTGTATATTGATATTAATTGATCCCGCGACAGTGTATCGGAATTTGTAGTAAGGAGTTTCTCAATACCTAATTTACAGTGCTCATGCAAGAAGTACCACCTTGTAAATCTTCTTTAGGAGCTCAAAGGGATAAATGAAAAGGTAAAGTATCTCCCATTTGTTGGTTTTATTGTGCTACTCGAGTGATAGACTACAGTGTAGACTCTATATGACGATATCTTTTTCGCGTACGCATTACTTTCTCTTAGTAAATATAGCAAATTAACGATTTTCGAAATATCGATGTCGCTGTGGCTCTTTTGTCATGTTGGGAGGGCAAGACTGAACACCTGTACGCGATGTCCTCTACGAACCTGGGAGTGAAATATTCTCCCAGAGCCAAGTTCAGTCAAATATCGCAATACCGAACAAGTTGGCCCACGAGGCAATGATTCAAATAACTCCACCACGTCAAATTTTCATTCCAAAAAAGATCGAATCCTACCCAAGCCTCATCAAGTCTACAAGTACGACCTAGTACATCCTTATTCCAATGATCACACCTCTCGTCGACTTTCTCTGGCCTCAGCCGGTCACCAAATACACGCCCACGCCGATATTTATACTCGACGGAGGACACAAAGCGTGGCGCGCAAATCTGAGAGACTGTTCTCTGGGACTGGCGTGAGAGGATTCAGGACAAGTTAACAAGATGATGCGAAGGATGGATTCAGTATTGACGGGCGTGGAATTTTGAATTCGGGTAAGGAGTTCTCAAATTGAGCCTTGTGCGTGCCAAGCCTTCGGTTGCGAGAGTGCAGGCGACACTGTAAACACTGTCATGGTTGGATGGTGCGGTGGTACATCGTCTTGGCCGGTCTGCCAAGTAGAGTCTGGATAGCTTGGACACATATCCCACTTGAGACAGTAGATGGCTGGTTCAGATCCGGCAAAACACAACCACATTTCTCGCGGCGCTGGCAAACATAGATGACGAAGGCATGCTTGGATAATCAAAGGGTTTGAAATTCCCTTCGGTGGGTACTTACGGAGGAGGGTCGACTATTTGTGTAAGCGAACATACCTCATAGTGGTATTTGCGAATGAAATCCAGAGTATGAGTGTCGCTAACGTCAGAACAGTCATCCAAGATGTATACATAGCAACGGTCATGTGTCATAGCTAGATAGCTGAATACATATTAAATGATTTAAAAAAAAAACACAACCTTTTTTTGCATCGGATTTTATTTGTGTATGCAGCTATCTAGCTATGGCACAATGTCGGAGAAAACGTACCGAAAAGATGACTCAATTTACAAGAAGAGCACTCATGCCTCAGATTTCATTTGTAAGTACCGCTGCGAAGTTATGGTGGCTTTTTCTTCACCCCAAGTCAACCCTCATCCGTGAATACCCACCCAGGGGAACATCTCAAAAACCCTGAGTTATCTAGACATGCCTCCGTCATCCATCAATTTCCTCCGCGCGAAATGTGATCTGAGGCGTCTCCTTCCCAGGTGGAGTAGGTGCCCAGGCTACTCAGACAATACCGGAGAACACCACCAGGAGGCGGACCAGAACACCTTCCACCGTTTGCTTGTTTTTATAGTGTGAGCTGCGCTCTCGCAAGCGAAGTTTTAGCGTGCACAAAGCTCAATTTGTAAAATCTCCTTGCCAAAATTCAAAGTTCCACGCCCGTCGAGACTGCATCCATCCTTCGCATCATGTTAGAGTTAGACTTCACGGGAGGGTATTTCCACAATAAGTAAATATATATATTAAAGATACTTGATAAAGACCTTTACATCATTTACATCCAACTGCAATCGCAACCACACCATAATCGACAAACAGACCATATTCATTATATGTCTGAATATTTAGATAACTTAAGTCAAATAGTTATGAGCCCGGAGTTTCCCACTGCATTAAGATATCTTTAAAACAATATTATTCAAGATGAGTTCCTCGTTCCAATTAGAAAATGCTGGAGGATTTGAGCAATGGCGTCGTGCTATTACTGAACGTGCAAATCTGCTTTTGACAGATGATTTGTTGGAAACAGAAAAAGACACATTACCAGATCCAAGCGATGATATTCGAAGACCAGAGTGTTTAAAAGACGATGCAAACACACGACAAATTGCTCTGTGGGAAGCAAGAGAGCGTCAGTTTTTATTGATACATAATCGCATGCAACAATTGCTCGAGTACATGGTCCAAACATTGGAACTGACACTTTATGAACGTATTATCACAACAACTGAGTTTATAAGACGAACTCCCACTCTGATTTATAGAGCAGTGAAAAGAACGCTTAATCCATCCTCAAAATCTACAGAAATGGAATTGCAGACAAATCTGGCAAGGCTAGAATATTCGGCAAAAACAACTGATATTGATATCTGGCTAAATAACTGGATTCAAATCGAAAGTATCGCAAAAGCTAGTAATTATACTTGGGCCAGCGAAATTATAGATCGTTTTCATGCCGCATTAGGACGTCGATCAGTATTTTTTGCAACAACTCTTGCGGCAAATATTTGGATGGGAGCAATAACCCTCCCCCAATTGGCCAAGCAGTGTAGACTGTGTGACGCAAAATTAAAACGTTTCCAGTTTATAGACGCACAAGAGCTACAAGGCATATTTAGTCCTGCTGTTTCCTTGGCTGCAGTTTTCCAGGACACAAATAAATCTGTTTCAAAAAATGAAGATAAGAATGACAGAAATGAAAAATGCATTTGTGGGCTTAAATGCCACAAATTAAACCAGTGTCATATCTTAAATATTAATGCAAGATCTAAAAAGTGGGTTGATCGCCGTTCCTTTACTTCAAAAAAGCGTCTATATAACATATTGATGGATATGGAAAGAAGGAGGGAAGTGGAAAGAAAACTTGGACACAAAATACCGAACGACCTACTTGAAAATCCCGTCGAAGAGACACATTCTACCGTACATATTATAGATGATAATAAATTGAACGAAGATTATATTACTGAATCCTCCATGGCATATAATACCCTCTCACAATCATCTTATATGCTTGCGCTTGCATCATCACAAACTTTGTTGCCTTATAAAATTTGGTGGGTTTTTGATCCAGGATCAGGTAGACACATTTGTCATGAAGAGAGTATGTTCTGGACTTTAAAGCCAACAAAATCAGCTCAAGCTTTAACAACTGGAGCAGGAGAGTGCCAAGTTAAAGGCGTTGGATCGGTAGTGCTGGAAGTCACCACTCCGAAAGGTCCAGGAAAATTAAAAGTTGAAGGCGTCCTTTATATCCCAGAATTCATGGTGAATATTGTTTCAATGGATAGAATTAAAGATCAGATGCTGATCTGGGATCACTCCGAGAACTGGCTAATTCACTGGGACGCAATGAGGACCCCTGCTGTTAAAATCTGGAATCAATTCAATCAAAATTTTATATCAAAACAGGCAGTATGTCCAGATCAAACCAAAATCATTACAGATATTCCAGAAATAATTTCGATAGACCTAGTGCTCCCAGAAGCGGTATATGCAAACAAATTTTCTGCTATACATAAGATTTCCTCTGCAGATGTGGTTATTTGGCATCGTCGTTTTGAGCATCCAGGGCC